TTTTATAATAATGTCCCTCCAATCCCTGATTTATCCACCCCCTCAGACTTCTCCCCGTTCCACCCCCAACACCCCCCTCGGGAATTGAGTCCTGGGGGATTTTGGGACCCTTTCTTCCTCATCTTCATCTTCTCCAGGGCACACTGTCCTTGGAGCTTGTCCCAAGTCCTGGGGGATGCCTGGTGCTCCAGGCCAGGGATGTTCTTAACCAAAACGAAGGCCTACCTTGAAAAGAGGACTAAACGTGCTGCTGGAATTTGGGGGGGCTTGATATGGGGAATATGGAACGGGGTGAGAGGGTCGGGTGTGTGTGCAACCACTGTGCTGAAGGGGGAGGGAATAAGTGCAGCCGCTTCTGGAATCTACAGAACTACTTCCAAAACCTAGAAATGAAAAATCAAAAATCAAAAAAAACCCCAAAACCAACCCTTAAGGCAACAGAGATGATTCCAGGGAAATGGGGTGGGAACGGCTCAGGATTACGTTGGGCTCCCCTTACATTGGGCTGCAGGATTTTTACCCCCAGAAGGCTCTGAAGGGGCTCCCCAGGGTTTGGTCACGGCCCCAAAAGGCTGAGAGAGCTCCAGGAGCGTTTGGATGACGCCCCTCAGGAGCTGGGATTTTGGGACTGGGGGGATTTTTGGCGTGGTCTGGGGGTTGGGCTGGGAGGTCCTCGTGGGTCCCTTCCAGCTCAGCAGATGTTTTTTTTTTCTCTGTGATTCCATGGTAATCTTAAAAATGTCCATTTCTGGAGGGCAAACATCAGACCTGAGATACTCCTGGAAATTTCTACAGGACAGGGGAAAAAGTATCTCCAGTTCGTGCTGTAGCCAGTGATATAACCTAATTAATCCCTCCTAATGCACCACTGCTCTGAGGTTTCTCTCCTTGGAGGACCCTGGAAAGGGTCCATGGACATTTTTCCCATCAGGAAACGCCGGCTCAGCCAGGACATGACACCTTGTGGTGGCACCTGCAGAGGAAAATCCCCTAAACCACCTTTACCCTCCTCGTCCCTCCGGCATTAAATCAGAAATGTCCTTTCAGCCCTTTGAGAAAAGGGGGATCTCACACCTTTGAGCTGGAAGGTTGACTTGGAGGTGCCCAGATCCTCTCCCAGCCCCACCTGGGCACCTGTTCTGCTTGCCCAGGTGTGACCCAGCCCCTCTTTGCCCCCCGTCCCCGCAGGTACGAGGAGGAGATCAACCGGCGCACGGCGGCCGAGAACGAGTTCGTGGTGCTCAAGAAGGTGGGTGAGACGGGAGGGGTCGGGATGCTGAGCCCACCCCAGCCCTGGGAACGTCCCAAGGCATGGGAGATCTCATGGAGCTGCGCCCTGGTCCTTTGGAAGGGCTTTAAACCCCCGTTGGGATTGTGGGGTTGGGGAAAAGGATGGAGGGGGCTGAGGGGCGGCCGAAAATCTCCTCCCGCTCCTGTCCCACGGCACACCCGGGGCTCACCTGGGGAAAAACAGGCCGTGGGGAGGCAGAGGGGGCCAGAAGCGCCAGGAATTCCAGGTGCTGAGGCCAAACAGCTGGGATTTCTCTCCTCATCCCCTTCCCAGTCCCACATTTTTGGGGCAAGAGCTGCCCTTTCCTTCCCCCCCCCGGTGCTCTGTGCCGAGCCCGGCCGTTCCCCCAACCATTCCTCTCAACCTCTGGGCTGAGAGGAGGCTCCAGACGTCCCCGTGGCCGCTCTTGTGCAGGACGTGGACGCTGCCTACATGACCAAGGTGGAGCTGGAGGCCAAGGTGG